ATTGTCTGTGTGTTAAAAAATTTGATATAAAATGAGGTAAACTACCGCTCAAACCAAAATCGTGAATTCCTTTAAAATGCCAATGTTCCAAATAGTATCGTATGCTTTCTCAAGATAAAAAAGATTTGACACTATGTGTTGTTTATTTACAAACGCATTTTTAACAAAGCATTCTAATTGTACTAAATGATCAACAGTACTTCTATTTTTCCGGAAACCACATTGAATATTAGTAATAAGATTGTTGGTTTCAAAACACCACACTAATCTATTATTTACTATTCGTTCCATGGTTTTGCAAACACAACTGGTTAATGATATAGGGCGGTAATTTGAGGGATCTGCATGATCCCGGCCATGTTTTGGTATGGGGACTATAATGGCATTATGCCATGAAAGAGGAAAATTCCCTGATGTCCATGTTTGGTCAAATATATCTAAAATTGTCTCAAGAAATGATTCAAGCAAATGCTTGAGTAACTGATAATGGATATTATTATCCCCTGCAGCAGTATCATGAGCTTGCTCAAGAGCGGTATGTAGCTCATGCAATGATTATACTTCAATGTAATCTTCACCATTATTTGAATCGAAATTAACTGTTATCTTTTCCTGTTGTTTCTGATATCTCTGAAACTCGGGAACATAATTTGATGATGAAGAATTTTTGGCAAGAGTTTCACCAAGTTTCTTTACAATGGCAGACTGATCAATTATTAATTTGTCACCGTCTTTAAGATGGTGTACAGACGATTTTGAAACTTTACCTTTTATTTTTTTAACCATGTTCCATACCTTTGACATGAGTGTGCGTGAATTAAATTTGGAGACGTTATGCCTCCATGATTGACGTTTATTATGTTTATAAGCACGTCGTGCCTTGGCACTAGTAATTTTAACATTATTCAAGTTATGTACTGCAGGATGTTTACGGAAATATGTTTCCGCTTCCTTTCTACGCTTTCTTGCTTGTTTGCATTCATTGGTAAACAAAACACCAGGGCTACAGGGATGCTATACTCGAGCAATACAGACACGGGTAGATAATAGTGTCAAACAGAACTAAAGTTTGGCTGGTTCCGTCCTTCCACGCTTGGCAATTATCTGAAGACAGTTAGAACCCGGAGGCCACTAATGCCAGATTGGCCAATGAGTAGCCGTCTTCTGGCACCGGACTCAGGGCATGTTTTTAATTTATACAAAATTGGAAGGTTTTCATAGTAATTGTGTGGAACAGGAGGACAGATATATTTAAAATAAAAGTAGACCATGCACAGGGCTTGGCATGACCAGCCGATTGATAGGATCGGGCCCATCCTACCACCAGTCCAGGTGAAGTGAGGGTCAAAGTGGTGTGTTGGGCAAAGGAACACCTGTTCTTAACACCAGAATCCCGTCATCCACCGACACAGGGGCGCAACCCACGGCAAACGGGTTGCCCAATTTAGTCACCTCATATGACAAGCAATGGGGTGCTGAGGACACATTGCATCCCGGGTCCACACAGGGGAAGAGCGATTAGCGCTGCCAAGCACTCACAACGTGGAGATTGCTCTTCATGAGTGCCATATGATTTAAATATTTACATTTGAATGACAATTCATATTCATAATTAAATTAGAATACAGATATAAAAAGAGGTGTTTACATAAAAGAACCTTTCGCTTATACATATTCAGAAGAATTCTTGATACAGTTGCTTGAATACAAATATTTTTCATTGAATTCATTACATTAATTAACTGATCATTTTTTGTTAAGATTTTAAAAATATGCAATACAAATTGTTGCTTTAAAAATAATTCTTCTTTCAAATCAGAATACAAAAGACCATCAATTAAAAAGTGCGTCTCATCTTCAACAGAGCAAATGCTAAAAGAGCTAAAACAATATGTACAAACACTATCTGCTGATAGCCAAGAGGCAGGCAACCACATCTAAACATTACTAAAACTCAGTGCTGGTCTCTAAAATTAATATTCAATACATGAGGTTCAACCTCATTAAAAGAAAGATTTAAATTATCTATGTGTTCTTTATTTGTTGCCATTTACATTCCTGCGATCATCCCATATATAATTTATTTCAGTTATTAACGTCGTGAAAGCATTGTTTAATAAATTCTATTTTTATTGTATTTTGCAAATGTTAAATATGAAATATTTTTAAATTGCAGCTGATTATTTTTTTGTCTACTCTACTGGCCCAGTATTAACAGTTATGTTTAGACCAATTAATAACCTTAGAGCAAATTCTGTCACATGACTGTTGTTCAAACTTAATAAAAAGTCTAAAAACATTAGTGTGTACTTTATGAATAGGTGAAGCAAGCCCCATATCACCATTAACATCAAGATTGAAAGTGGTTTTAAGTACACCCGGAAAATATACGACATGCTCTGTTTTCTGTGATATTAACTTGCATACATGTGTTTATACTCCACATTGATGATCCATAAAGCATGACTGGTTCAACCAGAGAAGTTCTAGAACTTAACACATGCATGGTTAGACATACCTCCTGCCACATCATACGTCTTAAATAGCTATAATAAGGAGCGAATGGCAGATTTATAGTGTTTCCTAACAGTCTGTCCTATATCTAAGAAGTAATTGAACCATGAGCCAAGATATCTATAACGTTCACCATTCTGTAATGAGACATCACCACAATTGAATTGAACTCTGGTCGTGTTACAGAAGCACATTGAAAGTGTACAATATTTATCTTGCTGTTATTTACAGTTAATTGCCAATGTTTGCACCAATCATTTGAGACATTAAGCATAGATTGTAGAGACGCTTCATCTGGAGCAATGAGCGCGACATCAGCAGCATACAACAACACAGATAACATAAGATCATCTATTTGAATACTACAATTGAGATTATTAATACATTCATCTATATCATGAACGTACACAGAAAATAAAGTAGGGGAGAATTTACAGCATTGTTTTACTCCTTGATAAACAGGAAAACGTTCAGTAAAATATCCATTTATTTGCCAAAACAATTTCCACCACGATAAAGAGATTGCATGACGCAGCTTGAACCGAAAATAGTCCCTTGTAACGGTACCAAACGCCTTTTTTCAAAACCAAACCAACAAAAGTTTGAGCTATTCTTTGTTTAATTGAAGTGGATAAAACATATAGATGGTCCGTACAATCTCTTTGTTATCGGAAACCATTTTGTTCATCAGCTAAGATAGTATTTCTCTCCAACCAACAAGACAGTCGATTATTTAATATGTCTGCATATATTTTACAAGGGATTGAAATAAAAGTGTAATAAACCGGGCGATTTACCACATTTAGATTGTTCCCCCTTGTCGCTGGATGTAAGTTATCACGTGGTGTCTGTCACAACAGGATCAAGGATACGACTAAGGTGCTTCCACGCTTCTGCTAGTCTCTAGTCTGAAGTTTAATTACCTAAATTATTTGTTTCTACTTAGGCATTTATGATCTGTTTACTTCTTTACGTACTGATAGAAAACAATGCATGTTTAAAAGCAAACGATAAGCTTTTTTGAAAATGGCGGTTGTCCTGATTTCAGTACAAGTATTACTTTTCTATAATGCCTTTCTTACGTCATCATTTGTTTGATCTGTGCATACTTTGAATATCCTTTGATGTTCTACGTCCATTCGTTTTTACTCTAGTTTTTCAGTAAGCATTGTTTTCATTTGTTTTGTATGTCTCTAAATTGGAACTGACCCGTGAAGATTCCGGGGTAGAATAGGTCTTCAGCAACCCATGCTTGCCACAAAAGGTGACTATGCTTGGCGTAAAAGGTGACTAACGGGATCGGGTGGTCAGGCTCGATGACTTGGTTGATGCATGTCATCGATCCCAATTGCGTGGATCGATGCTCATGATATTACTCACTGGATTGTCTGGTCCAGACTCGATTATTTACAGACCGCCGTCATATAGCTGGAATATTGTTGAGTGCGGCGTTAAACAACAAACCAACCAACCAACCAACTAAATTTGAACTAGTTTCAGTCTCATGTGTGAATCCCGTTGAAAGTCGTTTGATCCCGAACGTTGGAATCCTTGGTATAAGAAGTAAATAAGACCAAAACACCTTGATAGTATGATAGATGTCACTTGTGAAAAAAACATTTCTAATCTCAATGAAAACAACCAAGTGTATTAAGTCAACCAACACTATACCATTATCTTTCTTCTATGCCATTGTGTAATGTCAATACATTTTGCACATTTATCTCCCTCCACTTTCATATGACCATACGACATCCACTTTCACATGATCATTAAAAATATAACCTTAGTTATATGAGATAAAATATCCATAGATATAGCCTGTCCCGCTGTTCATCTCTAATGGGGAATGAAAATGAATAAAGCTTCAATGGCCCCATGATCTAATTTAACGCCAGAACGCTTTGGGAATTCTAAGAAAATAGAGGACTGAAGAGTTGTGTTCTATTCTAAACATTCACGGTAGGATAGATATGGTCACTGAACAGGATAGATATGGTCACTGAACAGGATGAAATGTGTTTAGAAAAAAATGTGAATATATAGAAATAAGCATGAACATATTCCATCTCCAGTTGTTACTTAGTAAAATAAATATTAGTTTTAACTCTTTGAGAATATTTGGTATTATTCTACCGAAAACATGTGCTGTATACTGTGCACAAACAGATGACTAGGGTGTTCTGATTAGATGACATAATCGAAGATTGATAGAAGGTCCAAAACGACCAAGAATTCGAATGCAATTGGATATCATCAAACAGAACAATTTCCAATCTATCTCAACAACTTGTTTGTGAGAAAGTGTCTATGTTGAAAATATTGGGCTGAAGTAAGTATTTGTGTTTGTTTCTTTCGATAGTTGTCATCTAGTATCACTGAAAGTTACATTGAAAAACAGCAAATTGAGACGAAACGAATACTCTTGATGGTCAGTTTGTTGATTAACCACTTCCCAAAAGTACAGACGCTGTGTTGTGTTTCAGCTGTTGCAGTAGTATATGCTCGCCAAGGAAGTAATGCAACCTTGTCCTGGAGACTACCCCAGCCTGCTGTCAGGGAGTTTACAGTGAGGCGTTTTTCATCAGCTATTCTGTTCCATGTGACCAACTACAACAAGGTGGACATCACTCGCACGTACAGGACAAGAGCAGAGTTTACAGGGAACATTGACTCGTCAGGATCTGGTGTGTTCAGTTTCCTGCTGTATGATGTTGTGTGGAATTCTGACCGTGGTGTCTACAGATGTTACAGGGGTTCACCAGGATCTAGAGGGGATCAGATGTCTGACTGTGGACAGGTGCTTGATGTCATACGTGAGTATATGGCCACACTGATTGTACACTACTACTTGTAATCATGTCATTATATGTATTTGGAATCCATAAACTGATACGTTCTTTCAATCACATTTCCTCAAAACAGTTTACCCTGTGCATATAATTGTCTAACAGAATTTGGAAATGTTGATAAGCGCAAGTTTTGAAAAACGAACAGATTAAATAAGGTACAGTAGTGCCAGTGAGTTGTTGAGTATATATATACTTAACAACAAAAGTTCCTTTGACACCAATATTGTACCGTATTTTTCAAACAAGTAAAGTTTGGTTTTCAATATTGTAGTACATGTATGGAATCAAGTTACAAAAAACGCAACTGCTACAGGAAAGCATGCATTCCATGCAAAAGTTTACTTGTATGCAAGCCCCATGTATTTCACTAACCAAGAATGGGTATAAAAACATGTGTGTTAACGGGATTCAATATTCATTGTTTAGCATCGTGCTGACAACAACCACTCAGAAAAACAACAAAATTACGCAATTATTCAACATTACGAAATGCCACGCCTGTCCGAAAATGAGCATCTGCGTGCCATAGGTATACTTGAAGCAGGATCGACAATTTAACGTTCACAGAAACACCATTTGGTGTTTATGGCAACGTTGGCAACATACGAATGCATTCAGAGACCATCCTCGAAGTGGCAGGCCACGCGTAACCAATAATCGACAAGACGACTGGATTCGAACAACACACCTACGAAATTGATTCCAGCCAGCAAAAGTGACTGGAAGAATCATCCCAGGCCTTCGACGAATATCTTCACAAACCGTACGTCGCCGCCTCAGATGTGCTGGGATTGTTGCCAGAAGACCCGCCAGACGTCCAATTTTGACAGGAAACCACCGTCAAGCACGTCTGCAGTGGTGCAGGCAGCGTCTGCGCTCGACGAACATGCAGTGGGGACACGTTCTATTCACTGACGAGTCTCGTTTTCACCTCAGCCACAGCGATGGACGGATTTGAGTGAACGTTACATCAATCATTGTGTCATGGAAGAAGATCGGTTCGGGGGCGTTGTGGTATGGGGTTGGATTACAGCAAGACAGAGGACCCGTTTGATAGTGGTAGAGGGAAATCTCAATGGACAGCGCTACCGCGACGAGATCATCGGCCCTGTTGTTCTACTATTTTTGCGTCGTCATGTCCCAGGCATTACCTTTTAACATGACAACGCCCGGCCTCATATTGCTCGACTTGTTCAGGATTCCCTTCAACAAAACAATGTGAATTTCATCCCCTGGCCAGCTCGCTCCCCTGATCTCTCACCAATCGAGCACCTGTGGGATGAGATGGATCAGCACCTTCGACGTCAACCACGTGTTCCACAGACACTCCAAGAACTTCGAAACATGCTCATGCAGATGTGGACAGATATCCCACAGGACTTTGTGCGACGCCTGGTCCATTCCATGAGACGAAGATGTGTTGCTTGCATCGCAACCAGAGGTGGACACACACGCTTTTGATTTGTAAATTCACATTTTGGCATGTACATGTTTTGTTTTTGTATGAAATCACGCATTTTCTGAAGTTAGTATGGCAAATTAAACCATTTTATCTGTTGCAACCCGAATCTTAATCTTATTTAATGTCAAAGGAACTTTTGTTGTTCAGTTTATATATATATAGATATATATATATATATATATATGTGTGTGTGTGTGTGTGTGTGTGTGTGTGTGTGTGTGTGTGTGTGTGCACTGCATGTTTAGGCTGGTGGTAGTCTTATGTGTGTTGCCCTTGTTTAGTTTTCAAATTGGTGTCGGTGCGGTACCCGTTTGGTTTAAGTGTTAACTCGCCACGCTGAAAACCCGGGTTCGTTTCCCAACGTGGGTACAGTGTATGAAGTCCCCCGCTCAACATTGCTTGAATATTGCTACAAGACTCCTAAAATATACACACTCACTCACTCAAACTGTTATCTGACTAGATGTTATCAATTAAGATAATTTCTTTGTTTGATACCAAGCAAAGGACACTATTCAATGATGATTTCAATATCAATATGACCAGAGAAAATTGTCTAACACAATAATTAAAATTAGAGTGAGTGAGTGAGGTTTTACGCCGCTTTTAGCAATATTCCAGCAATATCACGGCGGGGGACACCAGAAATGGGCTTCACACATTGTACCTATGTCGGGAATCGAACCCGGGTCTTCGGCGTGACGAGCTAACGCTTTAACCACTAGGTTACCCGACCGCCCCAATTAAAATTAGAAAACAAGCTGGGCAACTCAATTTGTCCATCACTTGATTTTCTGGTTTGTTTACATGCCGCCGCCGCGTGGCATTAGTATTGATTTGCGGTGTTAGGCAACACACTCATACTTTTTAATGCAAATCATGTGAGTGGCGCGTGCTACCGATAGGGTAGGATATGCTTACCCTTTTCGCAAACGTTTTCCGTGATCCACTCATACCATTTTCACCGCTGTGTTGCATTTTACGCCCAGTGAAATATGCTTCGGTGGATAATCGAGACCACAGTTGGTACTTAGTATAAATATCTTGCTTCATCTGTACACAAAACAAACAGACTAGTCTTCGGGATGGGAAGGATCATCTGTTTTTTGTAACAGATTTACTAATTTTAAGTTTTGAACATCTAACCTCTTTTTCTTATGAAGAAAAACATAAAATCACGATCAGAACGTATTTCTATAAAATACATGACAAGGCGTTAATGTAAAATATGGAATTCACCACCACATAAAATTCAGAAGCACAAGTCTATTGTTTCAGTTATAGATGTAAAAGTGTATTCTCATAATTGCAAGTGTCTACTGGGAAAGGTGTTTCATATGTGAATGTGGCCAGTGCATGTCTGTGCGATCTTGGAATTTAATAAATTGCCTTTTTCACCAAAACATTGCTAACACTAGACTGTCATGTTATGATGGTATTACCATTGCCCGCACACACTGCATGTTTCCAATAACTAGGATACCTGTCAAATGCTCTCTTAGCTCTTCAAAAACGTTGACAAGAAAATATGTTCATTATGTGACATTCGTTTTCAATTTGCTAGAATGCTTCTCAAAGAGATTAATAAAACAGTTGTGCAATCATTGCCTAAATAAACATTATGTCATGAACTTATTGAAACGCAACAGTATCAGGTGTATGTTGTGGAATATTATTATTCCATGAGTACTAGTCTCTATCGCATAAATTCATGACGTGTGCCAGAAAATGTTTTTAAAAATCACTTTTAGGTGATTATCTCAATTTTGATTGATTGATTTATTTATATTGATGAAATACTTCCAAAACAGCATAAAAGGCATCTGTAGCAAACGTCGACCGAGGCCATGTTTGGGTCATGTGACTTCACAACTACCCCGATCTAATAAATTCACATTTTCATATCATCGGTATTTCAAACGTAATGAAACTTTGTATTACTTTCTTTTGGACCACCATAACGAAACAAATAGACTTTCTTCAGAGATTATACAAGTGTAAGGAGGGACGTGAAAATAAATATGGTTAAGACAAATTATGTTATTTTCATGAACGTAAAAAGTGGAATCCAATGGAGGAATATGCGTCGCCGTCAAGACGATTCGTTACAAAGAAAGGTACTTTTCTGAGTATGCAGACACAGTACTGTCACATGGTGTGGTAACTAAAGTGACAGCATTTCTATAAGCGCTTTTTACAGTTTATCTAACATACTATACACAAAGAAATAAAAGACATTTAATATGGTATGATGTATTTTGTGCTCATTGTGAACTCGTCCATCAACGTAATAATTTTGTTTTATTATGTTTCATGACTTTATCTGAAGTTGTCAACTGTTTTTAATTCAAAATGAAATAGGTGAGAAAAACTCAAGATGTCATAGAGAGAGCATAACGTGTATAGATTTTATGGTTATAACGATTTGAAAGGCGTGTTTGATTTATGAAGCATGATCTGTGTCAGTATTTATGTTATATTTGATGTACCAGATGATAGGTTACAAGGTAATGTGCAATATCTGGAATTTGTCAGGATAATTATTTTTTTCTGTGGTACAACATGTGAGTTACAGATCAGTGTGTGTTGATAAAAGCGATCAAATCATGTTCATGGTCATAAGTATTATAAGTTAATAGCATTGTCCACTGTACGACGCTGATCATATCATAAACATGTGGCACCAATCACAAACACATGAAAAGGAAGGTCAGTTGTTCACCTGAAAACATGGGAACATATTGTGCAAGTCAAAAAGGGAATTGCACGCTCACATTCACATACCAAACAATGTGTTTGGTTATACCGAATACAAAATTCGAAAGTGGGACTAACAGTTTTTACAGCTGTTGTCAAATGTGGGAGACATTCACAAGTACGGGTATCCAGGCAGACACACTTTCCACAAGACCACGGTGCCGGTCCGGTCCTTCATTGTACGACGTTTTAAGAGCTGATTTCGTATTGCCAATATTATTTTACACCAAAATCAGGTATAATGTAATAAATGATTATTATGACAATGAAAATGGAAATGGTTTGATGATATATATCACCCTTCCAAGTGTATGTATATTTAGTTGATAATATGAGGGAAGGGTACACTATCTCTGTATCAATACTCTCTGGTATTGCATTCTATGTAAACATATCCTGGGGTGGCAGATGTCAGGGCTAGGATTTATTTGTACGTTTATGGAAACACACTAATATGAACCATTTCCTTAACACATAAACATACAATTTCACAACACAACTTAATAGTTATTAGATTATGTAAAAAGGTTCAAGACATAAGACCCATGCACACAAACGTTTAGGGGTGGGGGCGGGTGTGTCGGGAGTGTACAAATACATTAAAGTTTAACATCTTATTTACAACCTCCTGCCAGGTCTGTTTTGGAGATTGTGAATGACAAGGCACTTATGGCCATCGCCTAAGACTTGTTATCAGCATCCTTTCAGGTAGCTGCATATATGGTGAACATGTCTGATATTTTGA